AACATTTTTATTGAAAAATATAATTTTTATTTTTGTTATGTTTTTCTTTCCCCTGAGTATTGACATTTTTGAGATTTTGAATTTTGGTCTCAGTTTTAGATTTAATTTTTAAAATTTATTTTTTTTTTAATTTTTCAAATTTTATTTTTTTTTTAATTTTTCGAATTTAATTTTATTTTAATTTTTAAAATTTTATTTTTTTTCAATTCGTATTTTTTGTAAAAAAATGTGTAATTTTTTCCTTAAAATGCGTTAACATTTTTATTGGAAAATATAATTTTTATTTTTGTTATGACTTTTTCACATGAGTATTGACATTTTTCAGATTTTGAATTTTGGTCTCAGTTTTAGATTTATTTTTTTAAATTTTTTTTTATTTTTAATTTTTTTTTTTAATTTTTATTTTTTAATTTTTCAAAAATTCGAATTTTTTTTGTAAAAAAAAATTGTAATTTATTTTTTTAAAATGCGTTTAAATTTTTATTGGAAAATATAATTTTTATTTATACTTTCACATGAGTATTGACATTTTTCAGATTTTGAATTTTGGTCTCAGTTTTAGATTTATTTTTTTAAATTTTAAATTTTTTTTTATTTATAATTTTTATTTTTTTTTTTTTAATTTTGCGAAAATTCGTATTTTTTTGTAAAAAAAATTTGTTAATTTTTTTCTTAAAATGCGTTAAAATTTTTTGTTCGAAAATATAATTTTTATTTTTGTTATGTTTTTCTTTTCAATTGAGTATTGAAATTTTTGAGAGTTTGAATTTTGGCCTCAGTTTTAGTTGAGTGGCACCAAGAGTGCCTCCTTGGCTCAGAGACCTTTTTGGTCTCCGACTCAAAGGAAAACAAAGTAGAGATAGGTTTCAGAATGAATGGATGGATGCTCTTCCATCATGTTCTCGTTTGTCAGTTACACTCTTGGTGGCTTCTCCCCACAACAACAACAAAAAATATGGGGATTGCTATTTCATCGGCGGTCTCTGGCCAAACCACTAACCAAACGAGAACAAATGATGGTTAACTAAGGTCAGTATTTTTGCATTATTTTTTCTCTAGAAAAAAAAAATAATGTTCAATGTGAGGGAAGTAGAAACTCCCGCTCATCTACCACCCGCCATCTCTATTGAGTCGGAAAACAAACCCAGAGACACCAAGCTCAGAGTCCAAAAAGAAATTAAACGGCCTCTTTTTGTGTTGCCGTCGCCACCAACTCAAAAATATGTTTGTGTACGTGTGTGTGTTTGTGCTTGCCCATGTAAGTTTCATTCTTGCAGTGCAGGGAGACATTTCCTCATTTGCCTCAATTGACAATTGAAATCTTTTAAAGAAATCTCTAAAAATCTTACTTGGTAGAGGAGAAAATGACGAAAATTACCCTCAGAGCAGAGTTTAAGCACCAGCAGCAACCAAAACAAAACAGGTCTTATTCTGCGTGACACAATGCAAGCAAGCAAGCAACCAACCAACAACAACGATTGAGACACAGTGTTTCCCCATCAAAAGGCCTATTGAGTCGATAGTTAAATAAAAATAAAATAATAGAGCGGCGGTCAAAACTCTTTATGGCGCCAAAAAAAAAAGCCATTACCTTACACTCTGGATACTCTAATCAAGAGTTTTCTTATTGGACCGGGGGAGATGATGATGAAATAAATGTAACCTGTGTGCTTGCTCTTCTCATCATCTCATCTCAATGTGAAACAACAACACCAACAGCAATCCCCCACCCCAGAAGGTGGTGCTTTACTAATAAAACCCCACCATGCCACTCTATGTTGTGAGTGTGGGAGAAGAGATTGCAGACAGCAAGTTTTTGTCTCCAAAAGAAGCAAAAAAAAAAACAATTGTTTGACAGATGACCAATTTGGCGCGCGTCACCTCTTTTCTATTTTTTCGGTCTAGAGTTGTTGCTGTTGTGAGTAAAGCCAAACGAGATGTGAGTGAAAAAAAATAAAGTGCGTTGTTTTTGTTGTCTTTTGGAGAATTTAATTTAAATATTTTTGTTAATGAATTACAACAAACTGAATGAATTTACGGCCGGCGGCCGCAAACATTTCTCTGCCACATTTATTTTTGTTTGGCTGGTTGGTTCTTCTTCTCAGAGCATAACAATAACAACAATGTGTTCTCTGACAAACTATGCCAGCAGCAAATGATGATTATTAGACAGAGGGAGAGGAGAAAAGGGAGGGAGAGATTGTACCTTGTTCTTTTACTTCTCCGTGAATGTGAGTAGTAGTAGTTGTTGGTATATCTCTAACAAAGGCTCTTCCTTCTCCTCTATAGGGAAACTCTCATCTCTCTGTTTACAAACAGAAAAAGCGCGCCTTTTTTATTATTGTAAAGGGCACAAGTCTAATTAGAATCAATGCAAGAGTGGTTGAAAAACTTTCATGGAAATGAAATTTTTGATAAATAAATGATGGGAAAACCAACTCAACTACCCAATTTTATACGGGCCGAGTATGTGGCAGCTGAATGGAGGCCAAAATGGGTGATTGAAAAACATTTAAATCCAAGACTTATGGGAAACCAACTATGAGGCGAGGCATAAAAGTTGCAGGTATTTCCGTGACATAAATAAGACTATTGGAAACGTACCCCAAGGCGGTAAGTAGTGGTGGAAGGTAAAGTCCTGGAAATAATGTAATGATGTTTAATTCCAGGTGAAGTTTGTTGCACTTGCCAATTGAAGGTACCTTTATTCCACGAACGTACAAAATACAGGACCTCATCTCCTCCATTCAAAAAGGTTATTTTTCTGTCATTTAGAGTTTATTTTTTCATAGAAAAGGCTAAATCGTGCCAAGGCCACGGTCCATAATAATGTAAGTAGTTTGAAAATACATGAATTAAGAACTTTTTAATCAATTTTTACTGGCAAATTTGTTTTAGTCGGACAATAATGCTTAGAAACCTGAAGAAATAAATAATGGGAAAACGGACTCAAATACCCAATTTTATACGGGCCGAGTATGCGGCAGCTGAATCGAGCCAAAATGGATGATTGAAAAACATTTAAATCCAAGATTTATGGGAAACCATAAATAAGACTATTGGAAACGTTGCCCAAGGCGGTAAGTAGTGGTGGAAGGTAAAGTCCTGGAAATAAAGTATTGATGTTCAATTCCAGGTGAAGTCTGTTGTAATTTTTAAGTGAAGGTACCCTTCCACGTACGTACAAAATATAGGCCTCCTCCATTCTGTCATTTAGAGTTTATTTTTCATAGAAAAAACCAATCGTCCCAAATGATCCAAGCTCACGGTCCATAATGGTGTAAGTAGTTTGTAAATAAATGAATTAACATTTTAATCAATTTTTACTGGATGATATCTTTTAGCCGGACACTGCTGAGAACCCCGAGGCAACTATTTCAAATATGAGTGAACAAGTTCCTAACTTGGGGAAGCTTTTGGAAGTCCAACAAATTTAATATTTTTGCTGTAAATTTAATGGAAGGTATTTAAGGCAGATCCTTGTCGTGTTCGACATTCAGAAAATATGGAAATGTGTAAAGACGGGTTGGTTCTGAAACAGAATAGGTATTGGAATCAATGACTTTTAATCAAATTTTATAAATACTCGAAAAATTACCTATATGATGTCGACCAGTAAAGCCCATCTACACCTAAGTTTGCAAGTCAAAGAGAGTCGAATCCCAATAACGCTAAAACCTCCAAGTTTCTTGTCAAATTGTTGTTAACTGTAGTCTACACTTGGCCGACCTTATGTAGGCCTTGTTTCGATGCAGCAGAACCTGGTTAGTTAGGGGCGGAACTATTTTAAATGGTAATTCGTGTTTAAATACCACGTTAGCCAAGATGTAAACAAATCTCTTTTATTTTTTTTTTTTAGAGGAAAGCCTTTGGAGGTCGTTGTGTAACTCCAAAATAATCGGAATATGTTTTTAGAATACCAAAAGACAAGATGTAAAGCTACGGATCTGCAATAATTTAAAAGGAATACTCCAAAAAACCTGAAGAAGCAAACCATGACAGGCATAAATATTAAACATTAGAAATAATTTCTGCAGGTGTTAGATTAGATTAGACGAATCAAGAGTACATTTAAGTCAGATCAGTAAACATATGTATATCAGCTAGTCTTTAGAGAGTTGTTACAGACCGTTTAATTTTCAGGGAATCGTGAAAGTTGTTCTGAAGAGAACAAATTGAAGTATTACTCAGAAAAACATTAGAATGTCCTGTAGGATTCATGGACTCTGTGCTTAGTAGGATTCATGGACCACTGCTTATGGATGAATTTCGGAAGGACTTCTAAGCTAGATATTCTTGTGACCCTCAAGCTAAGACAGATCGTGAAGAGATGTTCAGTACAGAATGACATGCAAATGTCATTCTACATTTTTTGGAAATTCAACGATAACCTTTCAAGAATAGGATTTGGAAGGGGTTTTAATGTAGACCTTCTTGTAGCTTTCCACCTATGACAGATCGTGATGAGTTGTTCTATATATGAATGACTTACAGACCTTCTACCAATTATGGAAATGGAAATTCACCAGGAAACTCCCATGAAGAAGAAAATCCATTGTATAATTCCTGATGTTTAGATTAACCGCATAGATGCTATTAGGGATTGTGCAAGTATGGAATTAATTTGAAAGAACATTAACCAATTGGAGATATACTGGTATTGGGGTTATTTATAGGCTTTCAAATTCAATCATAAAAGCTATAGAATCAGGTCTCCTATCTTCAAATGGCAAAATACGTTTTATATTGGAAAAATGACCTGTAAGAGACCACTTTTAAGATTATAAAACTTCAAAGCTGAAGGACAGACTTCCTTTCATTCCTAAAATGTGTTGTTTATATTCATCAAACTTTATAATCTGGACATTACACTTGTTCGGACAACAACCCTTTACCCTCATATTTCACATATCGAAAATTCTCTTCCAATTCTAAAATAATAACAAAATAACAAGTATTCTTCTAAACCTTAAACAAATAACGAATTTGTTGCCACTTACCTTTAACAAATCCAGCAGAAACGGTGATGCAGCACATAAAACAATTTTATGGGCCGGAAAGCTGCGTCCACCCGCTGCCAGCGTACAATCGACCAAATCGCCGTGACAACGCAACAGCTGGATGGCCGATACTAATGAGGTGCCATAGTCACCCCATGTCAGGGAATATAGAGAATTCATGGGCAAAGCCATCATGGAGTCCACCGATTCACCAACAGCACAAACGTCCTCCAAGGGCTGTTGCTGTTGCTGAATTGGGTGGTAATAGTGGGTAATGGTGGCGGTGAATTTAAATTACCCGAAATACACAAAATTATGCACTGGTTTGTTTAGCGCGGATGATTGTCTTTCAAGTTTGGTTTTTGCCACGGGGCGTTGTGGTGGTGCTTGTGGCCGCCTTTTGCTGATGTGGGAAAGACCATGCACCGGTTTCACGAAAAAAAGTCCTTTTTATCTTTGTTTTGTTTCTGCAATCACTTTATGATAAAACTTTGTTTTTTTCTTCTTTTTGTCTTTTATGTTGTTTTTGTTTTCACTGACAATTTTCTTTTAAGAAAACATTTTTTCTTTTTTTTTAGATATTTTTAGTTTCTATTCAACTTTGCGAGCCGTCCCGCAACGAGACCAACATAAATGTCTACGATTTTTTCTGATACTGAAACTGTAAATAATCATTAATATTTTTTTCTTTTCTTTTTTTGATAGCAAGAAGAAGCACACAAAAATGAGGGGAAATGCCATTGACAGCAATAACGTTCTCTCTCTCTCGCTCACTCACTGTCTAAATATGGTGGGGGCCCACACAAGCACTTTTTTATATATACTCTCAACCATGCAATGGGAAAGAGCAAGAGAGTGACAGAGAGAGAGGGAGAACATAAACATTTCAGAGTATTGTGTTGTGTGCTATGCTCTGGTGTGTGTGTGTGTGTTTGTTGGGGGGAGTTGGGGAGCTCGACACCAGGCAACCATGCATATTTACACTTGTGGCCAAAATACAATCAAGAAAAAAAAAAACAAAATTGTTCAAGTTTCTAGAAGCATTGCGCACTGCCGTGAAAGAAAAAAAAACACAAACGTATTGACATAAAAAAAAAACTGGTAAAGGCGCGCTGTTGTTTCTTTATACTGAATAAATTTAACAATATGGGGGACTTTGGTTTTTCAATTCTTGGAAAAAATTATAGGGAATTTTGTTGAGTGGACTCTCTTGGATTTTTTATTAAATATTTTTTAACACCATAACTGGGCGGCTTTGTACAGTTCACATAATTTGTATTATTTCATGTTAATATTGCCACTTTTTTGTTTTTCTTCCAACTGGAAGCCGTCAGGTACTACGACACTTCTCTCTTTACTTCTATTTGTTGTTTTTAGAGATTTTTCCCGCTTTTTTGATAATCAGATTTTTTAGGCACCTCAGAGCACACAGAACCCAAGAATCAGTTCAAAATTTTTATTCTCATGAGCGTAAAGCGGACAATCTATCTTTTTCAGAAAAAAAAACGCACACACAACACATGCACATAGCCACTACTACACTCTGTACTCTGAAATTCTTCTTTTGATGTTGCTAAAGAGGAGGTGGATGATGATAATGATGACGATGATTACCATCAGAGGCACAAAATTTGTATCTCACTCTGGGAGCAAAATGTTATTTGTTTGAAATTTTGCGCTCACAACTTCTCGCCAACGATGAAAATGTTCTACTAAAAATTGAGTTTTTCAAAAAATCCCTGAAAAGTCATGCGATATACTACAAGGCAGATAGGCATGCACGCAAGCAAATACACACTCACACACACACACACACACACACACAGAGACACGTAGAGTGGTCGGAGCAGAGCACATCACACGTGTAGAAGAGAGACGTGTACGCAAAGGGGAAAACAGCAAAACAACTACAGAGCATTATACAAAAACAGTGCACAGGGGAGTCTCTTCCGTGCGTCTCTTGTATAAATTTGTTTTATTTATAGGATGTATGTGTGTGTGTGAGTGCCTGTTAATGCTGTGTTATGTGGTTGCCTTTCCCATAAGATAACACGTATTGAATGATGACAACATTGCGCTGTGAATAAAACGCTGAAATTTGAAAAATCACCAAAAATAGGAAAAGTCGAATTTAAGAGATTTTTTTTGGCTTACTAGGACTTAACAACAGCTATTAGCTGACAAAAACTTTTTCGAAAAAAAAAACTTTAAAATGACAGTACGAACAAAACTATTCAAAAATAAGAAAATTATTTAAAAATAATTGTTCTGAGTTGGAAAAAAAGCTTTTTCTTCAGATAAAATACAGCGGATAAAATTATATAATTAGTTTTTATGAGAAAAAAAGCTGGGATGTCAAGTTTAACAGTTTTCGAAAATGATACCTTCGAGCTGGATGTCTTTATTTGAATTGAGGCTACCCCGAAGTAAAAAAAATAATGGAAAACAAGTAAAAAAGGCCGGGACGAACTTTGAAATACCCTCCACCATTTGGAACGAATTCGGCAATTTTCAAAAAAAAAAAAAAAATTTTCTGCCTTAGGCTGTAGTATCCATTTCGAACTTAAAATACCAAATTTGAAACAATTCTGGTGAATAATGTCGCTAAAATCATCAAAATAGCGAATATAGGGAGACACTGATGCATGGGTCCTATTCGAAGACTTGGACCTGCATAGACAATTTTCTGTCATAGGCTGTAGTTCCCATTGCAAATTCTAGCTACGAAATCTGAAACAACTCCGGTGAATAATGTCGCAAAAATCATGAAAATACCGAATATCGGGAGGTGCCGTTGTATGGGGGCTATATCAAAACGTGGACCAGCACAGACAAATTTCTGTCATAGGTTGTAGTATCCATTACGAACTTCAAATACCAAACTTCAAAACAATTCCGGTGAAATTGAAACAACTCCTGTGAATAATGTCGCCAAAATCATCAAAATACCGAATATCGGGAGGTACCGCTATATGGGGGCTACACGAAGACGTGGACCTACAGGGAGAGATAAAAAAAATTGCAACAAAGTCAAATTATTTTTTTTATTGAATTTTTTGAAATTTTTAATTTTATTGAATGAAAGCAAAAAATGTCGGAAATAGCATCACAATTTAGAATAAGTTTAGATTTGTTCGAATTGGTAACCTTTGGCACGAATTATGGCCTTCAAGCGGAAAATGAAACCGTCTCACGCTGTGCCCGAATGTTGCTCTGCGGTATTTTGGCACATTCCCGGCAAAGCGCTTGCTTGAGGTGATCGACATTTTGGGATTTTTTTCGGTTCAACCTTGCTTTCAAAAATACTCCAGACACAATAGTCCAACGGGGATTGGTATCTGGAGATTTTTTGGTGGCCATTGTGCGCTTGAAATGAAGCGAGAAACCTCATTTTGTAACCATTTTTGGGTGGCGTGTGCTGAGTACGATGGTGCTGAGTCCTGTTGGAATGTCCGTCGTCTGTTCCGCTAAAATGTTTGCGTGCCCAAGGCTTTAATACACCCTACAGAATATTTTCGCGATAATATTCGACATTTATTCTGATGCCACGGTTGATTAAAACATGCGGAGAGCGACCATCGGCTGTTATGGCGGCACACACCATTACCATGGCGCTGGCGCTTGAGTTTTGGTGGCCAACCAAAGGTGCACATTTTCAGCTGACCTCATTTGGTTTGTTTACAAACTGCCGGACAACGAATGTTTACTCATTGGAGACCACCAAACCAAATTCGGCAGTTCACTACTTTCGGCCAAGCGAAGCAACTCTTTAGCTCTTTTGATTCCGTTTTCTTTCTGTTGCGGTGTAAGTTTTTGCAATTTTTGGAATTTCAATGACTTTACCCCGAGCTCCCCAATTTTTCTATATTTGCCGAATGGAATATTGCAATATGTTCAGCTCACGAGCCGTTTTTCGGCCACTGCGACGCGGGTTTCGATCAAGTCGCTTTTTTTACATTTCGAACCATTTCTGCTGACGTTGCTTCCCTTTTCTTCCGTCCACTTCCTTGACGTCGTCCGGCAGCACTACCAATATCACGGTAACGAGACGCAAAAGATTTATTCACATTTAAATGCTGGAGTGTTCTAACGATAGCCACTGGTGGTTTTCCAGCCAAATATAAAGAAATCACACTATCACGCTTGAATTCCATTACGAATAACTTTTTTTCTGGAAATTTCTCACCAAAATGCTTTTGTACACTTGTAAACAATATAATGAGCTATCGCTGCAATAATTTCAACAGCTGTCGGAAGAGTGGCTTAGAAATGACAGCAGTCTGAAGTTGGTTGCAGTTTTTTCATCTCAACTTGTATATAAATTTTTCGATATCTCAATGGAAAAATCGATTATCGATGTAAAAAAATGTATATCCTTGCAGTTCTGGAACAGATCAATACATGGTAGAACCATGGTACAATAAGGAGGTAGAAAAGCTTCGTAAAACTACAAAAATACAGCCCTAATGTTATGCCCGCTTCCTGTCAGACTCATTCAAAATTATTGTTTTCATTTTTTTTTTTCCATATTTTTCCTCATTTTTAAAATGAATTAAATACCGCCAAAAATGAATAAAATGTCTGGATTTTTCTCTCAAAAATATGATCCCAACTGTTCAATCTTACAATTTCATGGCTATACTGGTTAATAGCCTTAATGCGCCTTTCCAATCATTGGTTTTGGAAATATTTTTTTTTTAATTTTTCAAAACAATTAATACATACACAAAATTTGGCAGAAGTCGGGCACACTTAGAAAAAAAAATTGTAATCAGCTGTTAGCTCTACGTTACCCTTTTCATTGTACCATGGGTAGAACTGAGAAGGAAAAGTCATGTAATCATATGTTTACAATTTTTTTTAATATATACATTTGACAGCATCTCATTGTCAAAATCTATATTCATAAATCCATTGTATAGACACAAAATCAGAGATGGAAACTCTTTTTTATGCATTGAAATTTCTAAGGTAAATTACAGAGCTGGGAATGTTAATTTGAAATGAGATTACCTATATTTTATTGTACCATAAGATCAATTAACATTTTCTCTCCTAAAAAACCAATTTGGCGTTTTTTTTGGTTATTTTGGCGATTTTTTGCATTTCAGCGATTTTTTCGCCATAAAAAGTTAACATCATTGTTAGTTTTCTTTTGTGGTGTGTGCGCGACTCAGTAAATGGTGTTGTTGTTATTGTTGTTCAAATGGGAGCAAGATGGCTGACGCTCTTCTCGCACACATAACTCTCACACAAACACACACACACACACCCGCCGACCATTGCCTTCATTTTTGTTATTGCAGTCGTCACACAACTCAGCAAAACAAGCACAAGCCAGTCAGCCAGCCAGCCCCAGCCATATCCCAGAAAATGAGGTACAGTCATTCATTGTATGAATTTGTGAGTTCGTATTTTTTCTGGCTGTGTGTTTCGTGAGCATTAATTTAAGTAAACGCTGGCCTCGTGTTTCAAAAGAGAAGAGTGGCAGAGATGATGATGAGGGAAATGAATGGTTTTGTTGGTTGTTGGTTGAAAAAGGAAATTAAACTGAACTGAGTTTGGATTTAAGAAGAAGAAGAACCCAAATGCTAAATGAGCCACGTTGTTTGGTTTGCAATAACAAAAACTATTGCAAAGCAAAGGATAGAGAAGAGAAACCGATTAGAGATATTCTGATATTCCAGAAAATGGTTTTTAAACTCTCTAAAAATTGTCAAATCAAAATTACAATTTTGTTTACCTTTTACAATTGGTTCCCCCCCCCTGCGGCGAATGGCGTTGGCGGCATTGGTCCTCCTCTCTGTTATGATTTTCTGTAACAATCTCTTCTAGTTTGGTTATTTTGTTGTTCTCCTTTCCCTGGGAGAGGGGTTTTGTTTTTTGTTTTTGATTTTTTTTTTTTGGAGGGAGAGCCGTAGCAAATTGCAATTTGGAGAAGAGTTGTCATAAAATTTATTCTTATTGCGGTTTTCCATTGAGTTTATGGTTTATGTTTTCATCTTCACATTGGGTAGATGAGAGATGTACCGTTAGTAAAATCATTATTAGTTGGTGTGGAGAGGAGAGGAGGAGACTGAGAGTGTGAGAGGTTATTTTATGCAAAGAAATCTAATTTCAAAGGTATGAAAATAATCATACAATGGGTACGGCATTCGCCAGCCTGGCATTCATTTGCAAATTGCAACAGCAGCAGTCGTAATTGGAGATTGATCTCATAAAGAACAAGGGAATCTGTGGCACTGGCTCAAAAAATTCAATGAAAACAAGGGAAATGAAATAAATTGGAAAATATTTATGGAAATATTTTTGCTTTATTCCGGAACTACAAGTTTTTTCGATTTTCCCTTTATGATACCGAAACAATTGAAAATGTTTTGCAGTTTCTGGAACTTGTGGACAAAATTTGTAAACATTTTTTTTTGGGAAAATGTTTTCAAAGTAAATTCCAATCAACAACACCATCACATGACTAAATAAATGTTGGTCTTGGACCACGATTGATGCAGACTGTCATCATAGCAATGGGGGAATACTACGGCATGGAAAGTCAACAACAAACGTGTCCATGCAAAGGATAAAAAATCTACGAAAATAAATGCTAACCAATTTGTTTGCATTTTATTAAACTCAAATTTGGGTTTTATGTTTGAAAATCATAACTGGCACAGATGTGGTTGCAAGCTAGCTTAAAAAAAGAATATGGAACATTTTATCCTGGTCACTAGACTATATGGGAATATTGAAGAATATTTTTTTTTCAAATATCGGAAATGACTAAACACTCAAGAGAAACAGAAAATATCTAACATTTTATCTTGGCCACTAGACTATATGGGAAAATTAAAGGATATGTAACATCCATGGTACAATAAGGAGGTAGAGCAGCGAGAACAGAACAAATTTGCATGCAACAAATTGTTTCAATTTATTCAATATTTTTTCTCATTTTTAAAATCGGTTAAACAGTGGGAAAATGAATGAAATGCCTGGATTTTCTCTTTTTTTTTTCATTTTATTAACCTCAAATTTGGGTTTTATGTAGCTTAAGAAAAACATGGAACATTTTATCCTGGTCACTAGACTATATGGGAATATTGAAGGATATTTTTTTTTTCAAAAACCCGGAAATATCTAAACACCCAAGAGGAACAGAAAATATCTAAAATTTTATTTTAGCCACTAGACTATATGGGAAAATTAAAGGATATGTAACATCCATGGTACAAAAAGGAGGTAGAATAGCTTTGTAAAACTACAGAAATACCAGCTCTGGAGCTATGCCCGCCCGCTTCCTGTCAAATTTGCATGCAACAAATTGTTTCCATTTATTCAATATTTTTCTTCTTTTTTTTCAGCGGGGAAAAATGAATGAAATACCTGGATTTTCTCTTTTTTCTCATTTTATTAACCTCAAATTTGGGTTTTGCGCTTGAAATCATAACTGGCACAGATGTGGTTGCAAGCTGGCTTTAAAAAAGAACATGGAACATTTTATCCTGGTCACTAGACTATATGGGAATATTGAAGGATATTTTTTTTTTCAAATACCGTAAATATCTAAACACTCAAGACAAACAGAAAATATCTAAAATTTTATCCTAGCCACTAGTCTATATGGGAAAATTAAAGGATATGTAACATCCATGGTACAAAAAGGAGGTAGAATAGCTTTGTAAAACTACAGAAATACAGCTCTGGGGCTATGCCCGCCCGCTTCCTGTCAAATTTGCAAATTGTTTTAATTTATTCAATAATTTTTTTTTTTCATTTTTTTTCAAAAATGTGATCTAAATAGTTCTATCTTTCAATTCCATGGCAAACCTGATGAATAGCTTTAATGCGCATCTTGCAATGTACGCCTCTTCCAATCATTGATTTTGAAAATATTGTGTTTTTATTTTTCAAAACCATAAATACCTACAAAAAAATGGCGGAAGCCGGGACAAGTCGCTTCTTTACTTTTCAAACCATCATTTCTGCTGATGTTGCACACTATTACGCTTGAATTCCATCACGAATAACTTTCTTTCTGGAAAATTCTCACCAAAATGCCTTTGCACGCTTGTAAACAATATAATGAGCTCTCACTGGAATAATTTTAACAGTTGTCGGACAAGTGGCTTAGAGATGGCAGCAGTCTGAAGTTGGTTGCAGTTTTTTCATCTCATCCTGTATATCTTCAATCGATTTCGGATTAATTGTATCAGTCCAAATAATCTGAATTTTGGCTCATCCGTCTGAATTCAGTCGAGAAGCAAGTACACCAAATTTGGTGAAAATCGGTTCAGATATAGCTATAGCTCCCATATATATACATTTCATCCGATTTAGGGTCTTATGTCCTTCACATTCGCAATATGCACTCCACAAGAATGATATGTGGTACCAGATATATGATACAGCCCAGAAATACCTCTGCCGAATTGTATCAGGATCGGTTTAGATTTGGATATAGCTACAATGTATATCTTCAACCGATTTCGGGTTAATTGTGCACCAAATGGCCAATATCAGTCCAAATTTGGTGAAAATTTTTATACGAATATTTAAATACGAAACTTAAAAAAATTCCGGCGGATAGTGTAGCTAAAATCCGCAAAATACCGAATATAATGTGGCTACAATCATCAGAATACCGAATATAGGGTTGGTCATCTTCAAGAGAACTAGAATAATGCAACTCTGTGCTGGAGTTATATATGGAATGTTCCAGAACCTGCAAGAATCTACTAATTTTGCAATTTTCTTCGATATCATAAAGGGAAAATTGGTTATCCTAGTAAAAACTTTTGGATTCTCGCAGTTCTGGAACAGACCAATAGCGTTTATTTTTAATTTTTTAAACGAAATTCTTATATTGGAAGAAACCCGCGAGGTATTGGTTGGCCAATATTAACATTTTTTCCTCAAATAGGATTCTTTAGGACACATTATTTTCTCCTACTCCCGTACAATCTCTATGGTTTTGATTTTAAAAACCTTACCCGATCGTCCAATGTCAATTCACTCTTCTACTTCAGCTTTGGCGCCATTCTCATTCATTTGTGCGTTGCCAACGAGCCACCCGTTTCTCTTCCCATATATTCCTTTTGCACATTTCTCGAAAACAAATCGAAACTTGAAACGGTCTTTCACTATAATACAATAGAATTCACAATAACCCTCATTAAATCTACAAAGTGCCTTGATCCAGCTTTTATGGTCAATGAGAACATCAAATGCTAATCTTAACATGGCATATGTTACTAAAATAATGTCTAGGGACCTTTAATTCTGATTTGATACTTAACGTTTGATGACTTATCGATTAATCGACATTACAAAGTCGACTTAGCTTACCCTAAAAAGAAAGCAAAAGAAAGTGTTAGAAGTGTTGAGAGATTAGGCGAAATTAGAAAAGAAATTTAAAAAAGAAAATTAAACAAAGAACATAAAATCATTTCCCAATCCTACCTTAAAGACAATCCAAGACATGCAAAGTGTTTTAAATACCGTTAAAGGAACTGCCCTAAATGTCGCTGAATATTTGACACCAGTTCTAAAGGTAACAAAAATATAAAAACGATAAAGAATGCATCACAAAACGACAGAAAGAGTGGGTGGGGGTTACTGACTGATTATGCCCAGTCTTTATTGTTCTTGCACCCCATCTATTACTATGTAGACAATGTGGAACTAGACTGGATGGCGATGAGTCATGTTATAATAAACATTTTCTTTCTGTCATAGGAATCCAAATTCCGTGAAACTGGAGTATTGACACCGGAAGAATTTGTGGCAGCCGGCGATCACTTGGTCCATCACTGTCCAACCTGGCAATGGGCAGCTGGCGATGAAAACAAGACAAAATCCTATTTACCCAAAGGTTTGTAGAACTTGTGTAAATAATTAAAGTTATGGAAGTAAATTAAATTCCTTTGTTGTTGTTGTTAGATAAACAATTCTTGATTACACGCAATGTACCTTGCTACCGCCGTTGCAAGCAAATGGAATATGTGGGCGAAGAAACGGTTGTGGAAGAGGAGGGTGGCGATGGTGGCTGGGTGGAAACGCATCAAATGAATGAGGATGGCACCAAAGCGGAATTGGACGATAAAATTTGTGAACTGACTCTGGATGATCGGGTAAAGATTTCGAAGCCAAATCAAAAATGTTTTTTTAGGGCAAAAGGAATGCGATTCAAAAGTGGTTTAAAGAAGTATTTTTATTATAGGGTTCACAGGAACGGACACGGGAACGCCTTTCGAGAGCTTTTGATGGGTGGATCTGGTAACAAAAAAACCAATTTTTCCATACAAAAAGTACAAAAATCGTGTGAACTGTAACCTCTTTTTTTTGTCCCCAGGATCACACCCTGCGCTTGTGCCCGTTTGTTCAATTCCCAAATCAGCTATACTATGGGCGCTCAAATAACATTCCTCATTTCTGACAAAGTTTTTAGGTTTGAGGATCGAAGAACAAGTTATGTTCATTCCCATAAATCTAACTTTTCTTATCCCCAATATTTCCCCTTTGTGGGAAATATCTTCAATGTACGGAAATTGCTTGGGAAATTACAAAGTTTTTTGCCCATCATTTTTATACCCTCCACCATAGTATGGGGGGTATATTATGTTTGTCATACGGTTTGTAACACCTCGAAATATAAATTTTAGACCCCACAAAGTATATATATCCTTGATCAGCATAAAATTCTATATCGATTTAGCGATGTCCGTCCGTCTATCCGTCTGTCTGTGGAAATCACTCTAGCTTCCGAACGAAATGAAGTAGGTTGATAAAATTTTACTCAAATGTGTATTATGTCTGCAGGACTTTTGGTATTGAAAATGGGTCATGCAGGTCCACGTTTTGGTATAGCCCCCATATAATGGTACACTCTTTTTTCGGTATTTTGGTGATTTTTGCGTCATTATTCACCGGAATTGTTGCAAATTTTGAATTTGAAGTTCGTAATGGGTACCACAGCCTACGACAGAAAATTGGTCCACGTCTTCGTATAGCCCCCGTATAACGGTACCTCCCGATATTCGGTATTTTGATGATTTTAGCGACATTATTCACCGGAATTGTTGCAAATTTGGTATTTAAAGTTCGTAATAGATACTGCAGCCTATGACAGAAAATTGTCTGTGCAGGTCCACGTCTTCATATATCCCCCATATAACGGTACCTCCCGATATTCGGTATTTTGATGATTTTAGCGACATTATTCACCGGAATTGTTTCAAATTTGGTATTTGATGTTCGTAATAGATACTACAGCCTATGACAGAAAATTGTCTATGCAGGTCCAGGTCTTCGTATAGCCCCCGTATAACGGATCCTTCCGATATTCGGTATTTTAATGATTTTAGCGACATTATTCACCCGAATTGTTGCAAATTTGGTATTTGAAGTTCGTAATAGATACTGCAGCCTATGACAGAAAATTGTCTGTGCAGGTCCACGTCTTCATATATCCCCCATATAACGGTACCTCCCGATATTCGGTATTTTGATGATTTTAGCGATAGTATTCACCGGAATTGTTGCAAATTTGGAATTTGAAGTTCGTAATGGGTACCACAGCCTACGACAGAAAATTGGTCTACGTCTTCGTATAGCCCCCCATATAACGGTACCTCCCGATATTCGGTATTTTGATGATTTTAGCGACATTATTCACCGGAATTGTTGCAAATTTGGTATTTAAAGTTCGTAATGGATACTGCAGCCTATGACAGAAAATCGTCTGTGCAGGTACACGTCTTCGTATAGCCCCAATATAACGGTAACCCCCGATATTCGATATTTTGATGATTTTAGCTACATTATTCACCGAATTTTTTTATTCAAATTTCGCATTTGAATATTGTAATGGTTTTGAATTTTGAATATTGTAATGGATTATGATGCAGGCCCACAACGTCGTATAGACCCTAATATAACGGCTACATTCGGTATTTTTAAGATTTTAAAAGAATTTTTAACGGATTTCATTGTTTTTGAAAATTGCCATAATCGTTCCAAATGATGGGGAGGGTATTCAAAGATCGCTTACCGCTTTTTTATTTGTTTTAAATGTAATTTGAAGTTTATATTTATCTTATTTTAGGACGAAATGCACACTCCGGACAATGAACAACCTGGAAATATGGACGATGTTGCTGGGGCTGATGATGAGGAGGATGACGATGAAGCTTTAGATATGGACGAATTCGAGGAAAGCGGTATGTTGGATTTAGTCGATCCTGCGGTGGCAACCGTACGCAAGACGGAGAAGCCTGAAAGCACAAACAGTGAGGGCGGGGCTGCCTCGTATGATACCCAAGACTCGGTGCTGCACACCCGTACCTATGATCTGCACATAACCTATGATAAATATTATCAAACACCACGTCTTTGGGTGGTGGGCTATGATGAGGTAATGCCAATATTTTCCAAAAATTTTAATACTAGAATTAAAATAAGATATTTTACTCTCTCTCTCTCTCTCTCTCTCTCTCTCTTTAGAATCGCAAACCCCTGACCGTTGAACAAATGTACGAAGATGTCTCACAAGATCATGCCAAAAAGACTGTCACCATGGAATCACATCCCCATTTGCCGGGACCGAATATGGCCTCGGTGCATCCATGTCGCCATGCCGATATAATGAAGAAAATCATACAGACCGTTGAAGAGGGCGGCGGCGAATTGGGTGTGCATTTATATTTGATTATTTTCTTAAAATTTGTACAAACTGTTATACCAACAATTGAATATGATTTTACACAAAATTTCAATTTATCTTAAGGTGGAATATATATATATATATATATATATATATATATATATATATATATATATATATATATATATATATATATTTTATTTTTTTTGTAATGACACTCCTCAACACCATCCTCCTCCCACATGATATTAGATATATGTATGTAACGTTATGGCTTAACTGCTTAAAACATAAATGTAAAAACAAAAAAACACATGCAGAAACATTTCGATTCTTTTGTTTTTGAACATCTACCATTACAATTGGCATACATCAAAGTAGGCTTAATTTAATTGCAATTTATAAACAAAGAATTTGTATAAAGCTATTGTTTTAAATTATTTTCATTTCTTATTTAAATAAAATGATATTCCCTAGTATCCTTAAGACTAAAATATTTATGAAACAAAAAAAAAAAAAAAAAAAAAAAAAAACAAGTAAAAAAACTATCCGGGCCGAACTTTAAATACCCTCCACCATTTGGAATGAATTTGACAATTTTCAAAAAAAAAAAAAAAATCCGTTAAAAATTCTGTTAAGATCTTAAAAATACCAATTGTAGCCGTCATAGTAGGGTCTAAACGACGACGTGGACCTGCATAGGCATAAGACATTACAATATTCAAATGCGAAACTTGAAAAAAATCGGTGAATAATGTAGCTAATATCATCAATCTAAGGAGGTACTATTATATGAGGGCTATACCAAAATGTGGACCTGCACAGACACTTTTCTGCCATAGACTGTATTATCCCTTACAAACTTCAAATACCAAATTTGAAACAATTCCAGTGAATAATATCGCTAAAATCAGCAAAATACCGAATATCGGGAGGTACCGTTATATGGGGGCTATACCAAAATGTGGACCTGCACAGACACTTTTCTGCCATAGACTGTATTATCCCTTACGAACTTCAAATACTAAATTTGAAACAATTTCAGTGAATAATATCGCTAAAATCAGCAAAATACCGAATATCGGTACGTACCGTTATATGGGGGCTATACCAAAATGTGGATCTACACAGACACTTTTCTGTCATAGGCTGTAGTATCCATTACGAACTTCAAATACCAAATTTGAAACAATTCCGAAGAATAGAGTCGCTAAAATCATCAAAATACCGAATATCGGGAGGTACTATTATATGGGGGCTATACAAAGACGTGGACCTGCACAGACACTTTTCTGCCATAGACTGTATTATCCCTTACGAACTTCAAATACCAAATTTGAAACAATTCCGAAGAGTAGAGTCGCTAAAATCATCAATATACCGAATATAGGAAGGTACTATTATATGGGGGCTATAACAAAACGTGGACCTACATGGCCCATTTTCAATACCAAAAGTCCTGCAGACATACAAGTGCAATTGTGCAATTTTATCAATCTTCTTCATTTCGTTCGGAAGCTAAAGTGATTTCCACTGAACGACAGACGGACGGACATCACTAAATCGACATAGGATTTTATGCTGATCAAGAATATATTTACTTTGTGGGGTCTAAAATGTATATTTCGAGGAGTTACAAGCGTAATATACCCTCCATGGAGGGTATCAAAAAAAGAGTAATCTGAGCTGATTTTGAAATTTAGACCATAAAACATTTAATTTCTTCGAATATTCTTAAATATTTTGCTGAATCTTATCTTTACGGGGCAAAAAAACTTAATGAAAAGACAAAAAAGATCTGAATCATTTTTTGAGGTTAGAATCACAACTTTTTCGTCCGAATAAAATTCTTAGCATCTTATCTTGCCATGGCAAAAAAAATCCAAGAAATTTAAAAAAAGTCTGAAAAAAATTTATTTTACAATTTTAAGGTTAGGATTCAATTCATGTCAATCAATTAAATTGAAAATCTTGTGAAATTAAAACATATTTTTTTTTTGGGAAATTAATGGAGCCGTTACAAAATAATATTTAAATCATTAAAAATGAGTGAAAATCACTTTCAACAAATTTTGAGGTTAGGACCACGATTTTTCAGGCCAAGGAAAAATCTTTGCATTTTATGGAATATTTCCACATTTGGACGAGCCTTATGTTGCAGTGAAAAAAAAATTACAAGAAATGTACAAAAAAAAAAATGCTAAAAATCATTTCCAACAAACATTTTTCAGCCCATAGTAACTCCCTTAATATTTTATAGAAAAAATTGCATTTTTAAAAGAATTTTGTCTTGCAATGGCAAAAATTCCCAAATATTTCTTTTTTTTTTTTTTTTTGAAAAAAAAAATATTGCCAGCAAATTTTGAGGTTAGGACCACTTTTCAGCTCATGGAAAAATTTTCACATTTTATAGGAAAATTTTGCATTTTTGTTTCAAATCTTATCATGCAATGTCAAAAATTTCAAAATATTTCGGACAAAAATTCAAAACAAATAATAAATAATTTCCTATGGATTTTCAGGTTAGGTCCAAAACTTCAGAAAAATTGTTCAAATTTTTTAGAAAAAAAAAATTAAGTTTTGACAGAATCTTGTCTTGCCAAGGCAAGAAATTTGATCATATAGAAATTTGTATTTATCACACTTCATTCAAAGCATTCTATATCTGATATTTGCTCATCATTACAGATAGCTTTAATGGTTTTACTCAAAACATCTATACATAAGGTGTGTCTGGTTACCCTAAAATTTGTAACAATTGTTACAAATTGTTACTGGAAGTCGTCTGTTAACCCAAAAGTTCTGCAAAAGAGAGCGGTTGGAGAGAGAAATTTTGACAGTTCTTTCAGTGAGAGTTTGCAAATTCTTGCTGGAAAAATTTCTTCTTGCAATTGCTTGCAACTCTTCTTCTTCTCATTTATTGACATTCAATCAGATGTTTTCTATTGTTTGTTTATTTATTTTTGTGCTTTCAATTTGAAAATATTTTTTTGGAATTAGCAAGACTAATAGTTTTTGGAGAAAAACTTTACAAAATGTGAAAAACGTAAATGTTAATATGTAATAAGAAAATAAAAGACTATTTCCAACATTTTTATTTAAAAAAACTTGTAAAATTAGTATTGCTTCCTTTGTTTTAATTCTCCTTATGGGGGACAAATTGGTTTGTTTTGATTTGATCAGCTGATTAGTTGCAAGCTTCTGCAGGAATACCGTCTGTTTACTTTTAGCATTTTCCTTGCAAAAGAGAATAAAACTACCTTACTCTCTCAGAAAGAAGTTACTGGACAAATCCTGCAGGAAAAGTAACCAGACACACCTATAGATTGTGATCCAACGCTTGCAGACGTTTCCAACTTGCTGTCTCCATAACAGCTACAATATTTTTCGATATAAACTGAAGAGCATTTCTCTTCAGACGTTCGTTGGACGTCCGTTCGGCTAGCAAAAGAATATCGGCCACAGAAGATATATCCATTGTCTGGGTTAAGATGCTTTCACACAATGACTGCAGATCTACCAGGGCATATTTGTCGGCTGCCACATAGAGGTCAGCGGCCAATTCTTTGGATACAATCTCCTCGGTGTAGATATAGTTTAACATTTCCTGCAACACCTCGCCGTCTATGTCATCGATGGAAACCGAATTTGCTTTATTCTCCAGGAATTCGTTGTCAAACATGGCAGCAAAGACCTCACTGCGGGCACTTAATATATTCTTGTGGGCTCTGAACTGCATTCCACCGCGGCCCACCAGAGTAACATCGCTAAATTTTTCATCGGTCAACAGTTTGGCAAGATCTTTCTTGATCTTCGATATCGGCAGAACTTCCTCAAAAATCACTTTTTCATCCTTATATTTGACGCTAATTTCGAACATCACTTCCATGGGAAGTGCACGCAAGAATGGCGTATCGCCTAGGTAATGGTACTTGTTACTTTCTTTCGTGGAAATTTCCCCACTGATAGAAAAATCGTTAGTTGATATACTGACTGTAAACTGGGTATCAGATATATTGGCAGAAATCAGCTTGACATAGAACTTTTTCCTTTCTAAATACAACTTCCATGTAGATGAGATGCCATCAATGAATGTCTTAATTAGGGGGGATTCAGCAGAGAATCCGCGTATTTCAAGGCGCCAAATGTAACGATTGCCGAAATTTATAACAGTTCCATGTTCGAAATTCTCAGCAGCCATGGTTAACCTTACGATTTTCTCTTTTATTTAAAATGACAATGACAATTTGACTTGCGATTGAGTGTAGATCGAGTGAATATGCGAATATGGGCCAACGGTTTTGAATTGCGAATGCAGCATGGTAGAAAAATACAGGTAGATGCATCAACGCTTGAGAGCATTGATATGTCAAAAATTTTTAAATTTCTTTTCAAATATAAGTAGATTTTTATATGTTTTCTTATACGACAAAAATCGTGGGTTGTAAAGATATGCATTTTTCAACAATTTTTACAAATTTAAATAATTTTTCATTCAACATTTTTAATTCCAAAATTGGTTTGACAGTTCATTGTCCCAGCAGCTGCGTCGATGCGTCTACCTATATTCTTCTACCATGGAATGCAGCGAATGAAAGAAGACGATAACACCGAAAGAAGAATACAGGTAGATGGATCGCTATTTGTAAAAATTGATATGTGAAGAATTATAGAAAAGATTATTTAAAAATAATTCAATTTTGAAATGCTTTCGTATCAAAACGCATCATTCGGAGTTGGTATTCAGAAATTTAAGGAAATTTGAACAACTTTTTATTGAAAATATGTTCTGGCTGTATGTTTTGTACCACCTGTTGTGTTGATGAGGCTACCTGTATTATTGTATCGTGGTAATGGAGAGAAAAAAAAACAAATACAACTGATGTGTGAATAAAAAGAGATAGAGAAAATAGACTGAGTTGCAAGGTGGCATGGCCACATCATAAATTCTCCAAGGTAGACCATAGAAATACACAATAAACACGTTCCACACTCGTTTTTTTTTCGCAATTTTCTCTTAAATAAAAATTGCAAGAAAAATATCATATAAATTAAAACAGTTTGTCTCATTTGTTATTGGTAAATTTGAAGTTACAAGACTTAAGCATCAGGTTACCCTGCCTTGTAGTAATTGTACCAAGCATGGTAGAAAAATACAGGTAGATGCATCAACGCTTGGGAACATTGATATGCCAAAAAATTTTAAATGTTTTTTTTTGAATATAAGTGGAATTTTATGTTTTTTTTATTCGACGTCATTCGGAGGCTATTATAATTCGCGTCTTTCAACAATTTTTACAAATTTAAATAATTTTTTATTCAACATTTTCCATTCCAATATTGGTTTGACAGTTCATTGTCCCAGCAGCTATGTCGATGCGTCTACCTACCCATGGTACAATAAAAAGGTAAGGTAGAGCTACCAGCTGATTACAATTTCTTCCTAAGTGTACCCGACTTCTGCCATTTTTTTGTATGATTTTTTTGTTTTAAAAAAATGAAAACAAAATATTTTCAAAAGCAATGACTGGAAGATATGTAGCTTGCGGCTCGCGCATTAAAGCTATTACCAGTTTATCCATAAAATTGAAAGATTGAACAGTTTGCATCACATTTTTGAGCGAAACTCCAGGCACTTCATTAATTTTTCGCGCTATTTAAATCATTTTAAAAATGAGGAAAATATGAAAAAATATAACAACTTGTTGCATACATAATTTTGAATGATTTTGACAGGAAGCAGGCATAGCCTCAGGGCTGTATTTCTGTAGTTTTATGAAGCTGTTATACCTACTTATTGTACCATGGGTACTACCTATTCAAATCAAAATTTTAGATATTCAGGTCCTCAAAAAATCGAGCTTTGAATGTTTCGTGGATTTAAGGGCTAAGTACATAAAAAGCTTGAAGCCATGGCTAGGCATATTTTGTGACATTTCACAAAGGGATTACAGAGCCGCACTAAAATCCAGCCGTCGTTTTCCATTATAATTTGACATTAATATGCCTAGCCATGACTTTAAGCTTCTTATGTACTTAGCCCTTTAGATTTTTCCTTTATGAAATTGCATAACTTGCAGGCTCTGGAACAGAGCAGAAGTTACCTCGATTTAATTGTTCCATGTAAAAAAAGGTGTTATTTTTTCAGTGATTATAAAGATGAGTTAGCATTTTCTTCCATGTTCTTATGGTACAATAAAAAAGGTAAGGTAGAGCAACCAGCTGTTTACAAGTTGTTTTTTCTAAGTGTGCCCGGTTTCTGTCAATTTTTGCTCTGTTCCAGAACCTGCAAGAATCTACTGGTTTGGAAATTTTTGTCGATATCATAGAGGGAAACTCGGTTATTGCAGGCAAAATTTTTACATTCTTGCAGTTCTGCAACAGACAATTTTTGTATGTACTTAATGTTTTAGGAAAAAAACAAGAAATCATGGCAAAACAAAAAAGGTAAACTCATTTGCTAAATTTAATATGGCAACACTTTTCTGACGAACTCGACTATGTCACTTTTTTAATAATATCTTTTTTGATATCTAAAATAGGCAGATTTTACAATAATAACAAATAATCTCTAGTTTTCGGTACACCTTTTTACAAAAAAACATACGCGTTCTGGACTTAAGGAAACGTTTTTGTAGGAAAACATATCTAATCTACTTATTTTTGAAGTAACATTTAAAAATTGTTGACATATCAATGTTCCCAAGCCTTCATGCATCTACCTGTATTCTTCTACCACGAGATATGTCAAATTTTTTAAAAATTTTCTCCAAAAATAAATGGATTTTGAAAGATTTTCTTATATAACGACAATCAGAAGTTGTTATGACATGCATTTTAAAAAAATTTTTACAAATTGCAATATTTTTTCATTCAAAAATTGCAATTCCGAAATTTGGTTTGACAGTTCGTTGTACCAGCAGCTGTGTTGTTGCGCCTACCTGTATCATTTTATCATGGCTGTACTTCACATCACTAGTTCTCATGGTTCCGTTCAATGATTAGTACCATCGAACTATCCATCATCGTCAATTTGATATTCAATTGAGTATATAGTTGAGATCGGGAGCAAGTCTCATGTGCACTCTCTCTCTCTTTCTCTCTTTATTGTTATTTCATAAATTATCTTTGTTTTTATTCGCAAATTGCATTTGTTCCCTTAACAAGAGGAAAATAGTTCAAAGGTATAATGTTATCATCTCGTAGTACATTTATAAATGTTGTAATAAAGAAGAAGACTCGCATAAAGAAAACAACTAATATTCAGTTATGAAAATTCATGATTATCATTTATTAGAGTTCATTTTGTGCAGGGCTTAAATCGATCTTCGGCATTTTTATTTTGCAACTGGCTTTTTGATTTATTTAATTCAAATATTTGAAAGTATATAAATTAAATGTTTTTCTTTTTTGGATGAGTCTTATCTCGAAAGAAAATCATAATAGCAAAAAATCTTTTACCGGTCAGACGCCAATATTAAATGTGCTATTTTAAGCAATTAAGCCTTTACGGTTTTTTATCTTTTTCATTCAATTGACCTTGTTTTGGTTAAACTGGTTCAACTTACCCTATCTCTGTTAGCCTCGTTATGATATTTTAAGGTTTATTTTTTATCTACAAAGACAAAAAAACATCTGTCACCTGTCACACGCTTGTATTAATGGTGCTACTATAATACGTTTTCCTCCATTCCAACTGTCCAGCTGATTGCATTTTCTTCATCTTCATTTCTTCTCATTCGTAAACAACAGCGTTGTCGGAGATTTTGCTTTTTGTTTATTTTTTATCAGGCATTACCCGTTTTGAACCACCTTCTTATTTGTTTCGTTGGGAACGATTTTTATTTTTGTTTGCTTTGCAGTAGCCGATAAACATACACCCACCTCCTTACAAAAAGGACATTGTATTTGGAATTAGGACACACAGAGAGAGGTGGCTTCATTAGAGTCCTGCAACTATACCGGAGGTTAGATGGGAACATCTCCACGAGGTTACAGAAGCTTCGTGTAAAGACCATTGCAAATAATGATTCTCTTTTTTATAGAGCCATACCGTAATTGAAAAATTAAATCAAAGCCCCGTGTTGCTATCCAACAGTAATTAAATTCAGTTGATGAAATCCAAATTTAAAGACGCTTTAACTTGGATAGGCTCAAAAAGTAACTTTTTACAAAATGTTGAAAAGCAACAACTTCAACAGGTGAGTACTTCAATTGGCAACTTACATCAACAGGTCAGGTCGGTCAACAGGTGTATCAACAAGTTTTTACAAAATAACAAGTGCCCTATAGTAGGGGGAGCAAAAAGCAACAAAACAAGTCAAGTTTTGAAAAATTCCCAAGACTTTCGCGGATTTTGTCAACAATGGGCGAACAAGTGTCATAGCTAAAATATGGGTCGAATGTTTGCAAAGAGGAATGAGCTGTAAGAAAGACAGAGAGATTTGTCCACCTGATGGAAAAACTTAATTTAAAATCCAATCCACCGTCATCATTTCGCCCGTTACTACATTTCCAAATCTTTATCTGGTACATTCCCAAATCTTCATCAGGTAATCAGACCATTTCAACACATGATAACATGATATTGAAAGCGATAATTCCGAGTAAACTATTTCATGGCAAAACAACCAGATGAGCCACGAATCCAAGAAATATTGAAGCACATGCTTTTGGCGTGAAATATATCATTATTATACCCTCAGTCATATGGCTACAAAGGGTACATATCATTTGATACGACCAAAATGTGCCCCATCGAAATAATGGTTTTAGACCTTAGGGCATTTTGATTCGATCTAGCGATGTCCATCTGTTTGATGTGAAGTTATTGTCAAACTTAGATGTAGTTCGGAGATGGACAATATCGTTCCACTCCTTCTGGTACCTCCCCCACAAAATGTCAACATTTTCAAAGAAAATAATTTACTGCACCGAAAGAAAAAGGATAATCCAACTTTGCAAATCCTAATATTTACGTCAGTGCTAGGTCAGGTGCGAAAATGGACAATATCGGTCCACTCCATCAAGTACCTCCCCCACAAAGGCTCAAAATTTTGAATAATTATAACTCTCATAAAGTGTGATGTAAGTGTCCGATTGTCTTCAAATTACACACATCAAAATATTTTTATTATTCCAATGTCTGGTGTGAAGATGGAATATATCGGCCCACACGTTCTGATACCTCCCCCACAAGGGGTCAAAATTTTGAATATTCATGAAGCTCATAAAACACAAAATTAACATCCGATTCCATTCAGACTTGGCACATCTCAATACTTTCATCAACACAAGATCTGTTATAAAGATGAAGAGAGATTGGACCATTTCTTCTGGTACCTTCTCCACAAAGGGTCAAAGTTTTGAATAACCAAAACGATCATAAAAAACGAAAAAAGCATCTGGTTCACTTCAAATTACACACATCACAATATTTTTGCTAGCCCAAGGTTTGGTGTGAAGATGGAATAAATCGGTTCACTCCTATGGTACCTCCCGCAAAAAGGGTCAAAATTTTGAATATTCATGAAGCTCATAAAACACAAAATTAACATCCGATTCCATTCAGACTTGCCGCATC